CAACTGCATCACGCAATGCATTTTGTGTGTGTGGGCGGCCCGGTTGTCTGGCTTGCGTAAGAGTCCTGCGCCGGCCGCGCTGTGCACGTCCTCATATGCACTCTGCGTGGGTAGACCGACGGTGTCGCGTGAGAACGCCTCGTTAGGGCGGCGTGCACTTTGCGTTAAGCTGGGCCCTAACATTTTCAATCTCCGGCCTACTACTATTATTCCTAAAACTGTTTGTTTTACTTTTCAACGTAGTCAAAGAATAATTACACCATGCTAATGGGGTATACAGAGCTGAATTCGTATATCGTTGCTTTGCCACACAAAACTGAAATGTTTGCAGAGGCGATGAGCTATAGCCATCCGACACATTTTCTTGAATATTATGTTTTACTTTGCTTTCTCGCTCAGTTGGAAAGAAGATGTTTCTGACAAAGGTGACCATATGCAAACCACAGGAGCACATATGGCTCGGATTCAAATTGCGCAAATTCTTTAAACATGATCGATACGGCTATGTGACCAATTTCTTTTACCCCGGCGGAAAGTGGGCCAGTGCTGACAAATGTAAGTCCAAAATTATGTGTTACGATTTATTATGATAAAGTAGTACTTTTTCCAAGAATAGCAAAACCAATCCGGCGCGCAAAATGGCCCCTTTTGCTCCTACTCGATTAACGCAGGTACACATCACTAGACACAGTGCACAAAGAGTTAAGTGTTAGAACCTAAACACAATGAGGACTAGAAAAAAATGTGCAAAATGGGACGATGATAACTTTTTCTTATTTGTTTTAAGTTAAAAATTGACATAAGGTTGTCCATTAGTATTCTGAAGCACATGCGTTAATGTCCGTCTATGAGCGATTACAAATCTTTCCCAAATTTCAGCATTTTGCACATACATCTTCGGCGATGGTTATGTCTCTCGCAGACTGTACTGGGCTGTGTGAAGACTGGAAGAGCATTAATTCACCTTCTTGCAATCTGTAAGGGAGCCAAACTAAAAACCTGGCGTAAATGCTTGTTTAATTCCGCGAGGACAGAAATATCTACCTCCTGAAATACCGAACTAGCGGGATTACTTCAGATTGCACTCAGATTACTAAGGGCATTTAGTAGTACACGATGAGCAGTCGAGTGTAAAACACGTTTTAATTCATTCCAACTGTAGATTGTATTCAACCGGAGCTGTCATCACCTTTGCGGATCTTTGCCAAGGGAAAGGACAAAGTCGAAGTAACATGCGCCACAAGAAAAAGTTCTTGCTCAGCGTCTCCATGGGTATGTTCTGGCTTTTAAAGCTGACGGCGTGATCACATAAAAATGTTGTTTGAGTACCAGTCTAAACCCATTATCCAGGTGTCAGAATGATGACAGTTCGGCCGTCGATTTCGATGATGTCTACCACGAGCCTCAACAGGCTGAAGCAACGCGGTGACTTCCACTGGATTGCAGAGCGAGTAGACTTGCGGAGGATCCATCCCCACTCTCTCACCACTCCGAAACCGGAACCGATGTCAAGACAATAATCAAGAAGGCCGGAGATGGGGGAGGGCGCAGGCGGCTGGCACGACCAACACTCAACACGCGTACTAACAGCACGCCTCGTTAGGTAGGCTCCCGACTGGGAGTGCAATAAAGGCCACATTAAGAAGAAGTCATCGAGCCTGACTCTCAGCCCGCAGTAATCCACTTCCCACAACAAGCTGCACACTGGGTCGACTGCGCTATCCAAGTTATCCTGTCAGTTGGCAACCTGCCAAGCCACGGCTTCCAGCGCACCGAGATAGGCTCAGTCGCTTCCGATTGTTTATAGTGAGGAAAGAAATTCACCGAGGGTCGACCTCACTCTCTCCTCCAACACCAGAAACGGGCTGCCACCTAGCTGATCGGTTGCCTGCGGTCGGATGATCGCAGTGCTAAAAAGGAAAACAAGTCGGAGATGAGCATTGTCGAGCAGGTTGTTCAGGGGCGAGGAAGGGATGAAGAGAGAGG